GCTCTGACCCACATGCAGGACCTTGCACTTGGCCTTGTTGAACTTGCATGGGACCACCTCTCAAGCCTGTCAAGGTCCCTCTGGATGGCATCCCTTCCCTCCAGCGTGTCAACCACACCACACAGCTTCGTGTTGTCATTAAACTCTCTGAGGGTGCACTCGATCCCACTGTCCATGTCACCGACAAAGATGTTGAACAGTGCCGGTCCCAGTACCGACCCCTGAGGAACGCCACTCATCATTGACATCCACTTGGACATTGAGCTGTTGACCACAACTCTTTGAGTGCAACCATCCAGCCAATTCCTTATCCACCGAGTGATCCGTCTGTCAAATCCATGTCTCTCCAAAGCGTGACAGTGTCAAATGCTTTGCACAAGTCCAGGTAGATGACGTCACTCTCTCTCTTCCCTTATCCACCAACGCTGTAACCCCATCATAGAATGCCACCAAATTTGTCAGGCACGATTTGCCCTTAGTGAAGCCATGTTGGCTGTCACCAATCACGTCCTTGGCAGCTCCATGATCTTGCCAGGCACAGAGGTGAGACTGACCGGCCTGTAGATCTCTGAGTCTTCCTTTTTTCCCTTTTTAAAAATGCATTTGATGTTTCCCCTTTTTCAGTCTAATAGGTCTGAGCTCCTTATCTAAGCTGCCATGTTAATAATGGAGATAGAGACCAGGAGTGAACTTTTCCGATGCTAAAACCTGGTGCCATTTGAGGTGCCACAGGTGGTCTAAGGCATGTGCAGGTGGCAGCAAGCTGTAATGGAACAATTGTGAGGGACAGGGCGGCATGTGACGGCATCATCTTGGAGGCTGCTGGGGAACTCCTTTGGCCAACAGACATGACAGCAGATGCTGACATTCAGTACAAAGAATCCTGTCCCTGATCAGTAGGTTCAGAGTAACATATAGAGGTGATCCTCTGACCAAATGGAGGCATGTGCCATAGGGAGGGCTATGTCTCTTTCTTTTCCTCATCAACTGTATTTCCTAGGTCTGCCCTGACTATAACATCTCATGGTCTCCTGTCAGGGCTGCACAGCCCAGCCCCGCTTATCTCGGGCATTGGTGAGGAGAGCAGGTTTTGCTTGCTCTGTGGGCACCTCATGTCAGCTACCTCATCATCTACGTCTACATCTCGTATCATTATTGACATTGCCATCTACCACATAGTCCAAGCACATCTCTGCTATGAAGAAAAGCCTTTGCATATATGGGCTCTTGGGACGTCAGAGGGGCAGACTGGGGACCTTCAGGAGGGATCTCATGAGCAGCAGTACTGATAAGCAGCAGAGCCCAGCACAGCTGGTGTTTCAGGACAACCTCCTGCAAGGACAGCAGTGGTCCATACAGATAGTCAGTTGACTCTCATAAAGGAATTCAATGGCACCAAGATGAGCTGTTACTGCTGAAGTTACAGTTAAGAAAGAAAGACTATGTGGGGCCACTGCAGAATTTAGCAAGGGCAAGTGTCAATATGTCTGAGATACAATACGCTGCCTTTGGCTCTGCCTTCATCATCCCAGGCCTTTGTGCCTTGAGGCACATGGAGAAGAACCAGTAGTGAGTGGGGATCAAGTCAGGGCTCACCTGAGCACACTCAGCTCTTTACCGGTCCATGGGACCAGAGGGACTCCATCCAAGGGTGCTGGCCAGGAAGTCACAGTGACACTGCTCTGTGACACTTTGGACAGGTCATCTGGGGAACTCCCTGAGGACTTGCAAGAAGCAGACATTGCATGCATCTTTCAAAAAAGCCCCAGGGATGAGCTGGGGACCTGAAGGCTTCTCACCCTCCTTTTGGTTGAGGAATGTGTCCCAGAGTATGTCCTCTTGCATCCCATTTCTGGGGTTCTGAAGGAGAGGGTGACTGCATTTACTGAGGTACATCATGCCTGACCATCCACAATGCTTTCTGAGATGAAAGGATTGTATTTCCAAGTGAAGGGAGAGCAGTGGATGCCATCCAGTTCATCTTTTTTACCCTCCTCATACTCTCCAAGAAGAACAGCATCCCCTCTTAACCCTTTCCCCACTGGTTATCCAGACAAGGGCAACAAAGGTGTGAGGGGCCTCTTGGGAGCTTCACACAGGGCAACGGGAAAAGTAATAAAACATAGGATGTGTGCTGCACTGCAGCAGGACACCCAGCGTGTCTCTGTGATCCCCATCCTGGGAGGTTTTCAGGTATCCTCCCCAAAAGTGCCACCAGCCTGACCATGGGTAGGTGGTAGCTCGTATGGTTGTATGTTTTGGATGTGCGATGAAAACAGCCTTGACAACACAATGATGTGTTAGCAATTGCTGAACTGTGTTTATTCAGTGTCCAGGCCTTTTCTGTTTGTCAGGCTGCCCCACCAGTGAGTAGGCTGGGGGTGGGTGAGATGTTGGGAGGGGACACAGCCAGGACAGCTGGGGGAATCTCAACTTAATTGCCGAAAGGAGGTTCTCTGCTGCAGATTCAGGTCTTCAGAGGTAGGATCTGAAGAGAACAGCTTTGAACGAGCAAAACTTTTAGCTCATTTTCCATGTGTTGCCTCACTCCCCTGCTTTCAGTCATTGGCACCCAGAAGCATCACCCCCTTTAATTTGTTCTCCTCTCAAGTATGACCAAGGGATGGGAAGAAAGGAAGGAGGAGGAGAGAGGAGGAGGTCATTCCCACTGTTTCAGTCCATACATGGCTGAATTTCACAGGTGCAATTCAAGTCAATTTTGCCCCAAAACTCAATTGTTTGAAAGCACTTGGCCCTGGCATGCTGAGCACCTCCAGGGCCCGGCTGTACAAGCACTGCAGTGACACGGCTGTGCTGGGCCTTTGTGTATCGGCCGGAGCCTGGCACTTGAGGGATGGGGTCTTGTGCCATCGTGCATCCATAATGGATCAAGCTGGGAAACGAGTCTGTGAGTCAGAACCAAGGAGGTCTGTGGCCAGGCATGGCTGTGCCCATGGCTGCGGCTGGAGACCAGTATGCCCAGAGCATCGCTCAACTCAGACTGACACTGCATTTCACATCCCGGATCCACTTTTCCCTCTTTGCAGGTACCAGGTGCAGATGAGCATCACCTCTGGTGGCACACCTGGCAGCTGTGCTAAGAAGCTGGCCCCAGGAACCAGAAGAAACCTCTGGGACTGTTTGCACCCTGCAGTTTCCCCTTCCCGTGTGTGTCAGGGGGAGTAGAGTCCCCAGGGGTGATGTGGGGTCAATGGACTTCCTCACATTTCTTAAATAAGACTTTGTCCTCTTCCTCACCTGATTCCAGGTGTTAATCTCCCACCACAATGTCTCCCTAACGGGTCTCTCCTGTGACCCCCACCCACAAGAGCTCACCCAAGATGCTGCCCGTCCCACAGAGGACCTCCACACATCCAGGCAGCCCCCCTCACACTGAGGGCATCCCCCTCCTGATCTTCCCTGCCTGTCCCTTCTCAGGAGCCTGTACCTATCCCTTAGAGCACCTCAAGGTTTCTGACCTGTGCCACCACACCTCAGCAGGTATTACACTGATTTCAGAGCTCTGTGACAGTGCGCAGGGCTCCAGCTCCTCCTGTCTGTGCTCCAGGCTGAGGCCATTGGTGCACACTGGGGCTGCAGCCCCTCAGCTTGGTGCCATCAGGGCCAACCTCAGACTTGTCACAGCTCTGGCGCCCAAGATCCTGTGCAAGCAAAGACTTTGCTTCAGAGCAGAGACATGCTGGTGTGGATGGCAGGTGGCAATGTGAGGCTGAAATGAAGGGCCCACAAAGAGCGGAAACCTTGTGCTCCCCAGTGCCACAGAGAAACAGGTTTGGACTGTGCGGTCCTGGCAGGAGAGGGCTTTCCTGTCTGCAGTGTCTCTGCAGCCCCCAGGGCCTGTGGTGGAGGGGAAGACGGTCTCCAAGAAGGACAAGTTGCTGCTGAAAATGTCCTTGCCTATGGACATCCTGTCATCTGAGCAGTCATGTGAAAGTCATTTACCTGTTCCGTGACTGTATCATCAAGGAGGTGAATAAAGGATGGGGGTGAGAAAAACCAGCAGCATTTGAAAGTGTTGGCACAGGAGCAGAGAGCCTGCCGTGGTGTGCCCCATACTCCTGCACTGCCTCACACATCTGCTGGGTAGACACGGGACAGACATTGCCTCACTGCAGTGCTGGCGTTCGGTAACTTGCTCACCAGCAGCAAATCTGTCTGAGGTGCCGTTAGAGGTGTCTGTTATTTACCAACTCTGAACGGGGATCGCTGTGTGAGAGATCCTCAAACGCCCTTGTCAGCTGCCCTTGTGCAGCTTTGGCACCTGAGGTAGCACGACAGGCCTGTGCTTGGCCATAAAGATGAATAGCTGCCCTGTCCGGGTGACTGCTCTAACACCGGAACAAAAAAAGGCAATTCAGAGACCTAAGTGTGTCTCTGACAGAAAAGCCACTGCTGGAAAGAGGTGTCCTTCCCCAGCTGTGGGAGGGAACATCAGTGATTGCTTCAGCCTGTTTCTCAGCAGGTTCCCCCGGAGCCCCAGGGATACCTGGAGGGAGCCCAGAGGGGACAGAGAAAGTGCTGCCTTGGGCTGGTCCTCTGCTGCTGAGCTGGGCTGGGCTCCTGGGATGGAGGGAGCTCATGGCAAGCGGGCATCACTGCAGGTAGACAGCTCTGCCCAGGAGCAGCTCCTCTGCAAAGCGCAGCAGGGCTGAGGGCACTGCCTGCAGGCAGCGAGGGCAGAGGAGTGAGGAGAAGAGAGGCGTAGGGCAGTCAGCAATGGGAAGATGTATAGAGCTCACTGGAGGAGAAACTTTCACAGTGCTTTGCACGGTAAGTCTTGAATTTTAAGAGATCATCAGAATATAGGTCTTCTCTCTGCCAAAAAATGTCCTTCACAGCTCCTGTGAGGTGCCTTTCAGCCTGAGTTATTCTTTGATCCCATCTGTGATCCTTTCCTCTCTAAAATAGGGAAAGCAGCGACTGTTCTTTCTTGGAGCTACTTTCCTGAAAAGGGTGAAAACGCCGGGCAGGAGCACAGCATGGAGAAAGGGGCGTGGGACAATCTGACAGCACCAATGGAGTTCCTCCTGCTGGGAATGGGGAATGTGGCCTCACTCCAGACACCGCTCTTGTTCCTCCTGCTCCTTATCTACTCAGTGACTATGGTTGGGAACATCCTCATCTTTGTGCTGGTGGTGGTAGACCGGCACCTACACACCCCCATGTACTTCTTCCTGGGCAATCTGTCCTCCTTGGAGACCTGCTACAGCTCCACCATCCTGCCCCGGCTGCTGGCCAGCTTGCTGAATGGGGACAGGATAATCTCTGCTCACAGCTGTATGGCTCAGTTCTACTTCTTTGGCTGTTTTGCAACCACAGAGTGTTACCTGCTGGCCATGATGTCCTATGATCGGTATCTGGCCATATGCCAGCCCCTGCTCTACGCAAGCCTCATGACCTGGAAGGTCTGTCTCAAGCTAGTGGCTGCATCTTGGCTAGGGGGACTGCTAATATCCATAGTAACTACCTCTTTCATATCTCACCAGAGTTTCTGTGGCCCCAAGGCAATCGATCACTTCTTCTGCGATTTTACCCCATTGCTGGAGCTGGCCTGCACTGACGTCACAATGTTCACACCAATTGCATTAATAATCGCTCTCCTTGACCTGGTCTTCCCGTTCCTGTTCACACTGGGCTCCTATGTGCGCATCATAGCTGCCATCCTGAGGATCTCATCTCGCATAGGCAGGCAAAAGGCCTTCTCCACATGCTCCTCTCACCTCACCATTGTCACCATTTTCTACAGCACTCTAATCATTGTTTACCTGCTGCCCAGAACAGCCCCTCTGAGGCAGCTCAACAAAGTGGTGTCCTTTTTCTATACCATCCTCACACCCCTGGTCAACCCCCTCATCTACAGCCTGAGGAACAGGGAGGTCAAAGAGGCCCTTAGGAAGGTGCTCAGGAAAGCCCTGGCTTGTGCCCAGAGCTCCTTGTAGGTGAGTGACACTAGGGACAATCCACTTGCAGGTCTTTCACAAGAGCTGCATACTGGGTGCATCTCCAGAAACGTGTGCCACTGTCTACTTGCAAATTAGAATGAGGATGAAGAAGAAGGTTCTTAGGAGGAAATATTCTTCTAGAGAAGAGACTGAGAAAAAGGTCATGGGTTTGCTTTTCTCTTCATAATAAACGGGTTGGTGATCTTACCTGAATGAATTGTTGAAGTGGTGTATTGGGTCTGACTGAGATGGAGTTCATTCCCCCCACAGCAGCCCCCTGTGTTGTGCTGTGTGTTGGCAGTGAGCAAGGTGTTGGTAACACACCAGTGTTTTGGCTGCTACTGAGCAGTGCCAGCACACACCAAGGCTGTCTCTCCAACATTTCTTCTCCCGCTCAGCAGCAGGCTGGGGGTGGGCAAGATCCTGGGGGGGACACAGCCAGGAGAGCTGACCCAAACTGACCCAAGGGATATTCCATACCATATGATGTCTGCTCAGCAATAAGAAACTGAGAGACAGGGGGACGAACAGGGTGGGGGCATTTGTTTGTTTTTTTTTTTTTTTTTTCAAAATTTTTTTTT